CTATCTATCTATCTATCTATCTATCTATCTATCTATCTATCTATCTAACTATCTAACTATCTATCATCTCTAACCTATCCTACGCCCACACATTTGACATCCTAGCAAGTCAATTGTCTGAATGTATAAGGTTTTTTTGAGTTGCAAAAAATTATGTAAAACAGACCAAACAAGTCTTTTCTTTGACCAAGCTGCCAGAACCAAATTTCTCCTTTTTCTTTGGTTGTTGTTGTTGTTTCTTCTTCTTCTTCTTCTTCTTCTTCTTCTTCTTCTTCTTCTTCTTCTTCTTCTTCTTCTTCTTCTTCTTCCTCCTCCTCTTCCTCTTCCTCTTCCTCCTCTTCTTCCTCCTCCTCTTCCTCTTCTTCTCCTCCTCCTCCTCCTCCTTATCATCATCATCATCATTATTATTATTTTGCTGTCATCTTGTGTCAAACAATTCTGGACAGCTTGCAACAACAACAAAAAACAACAACACCCTGATCAGGAGCTTGCTAACATATGCGAGCAACTTAGGGGGGAAAATACTTGGTTATATTTTAAATTTAAATTTAAAATGATGTTATCTCCTTGATCTATGCCATTCAGGGGATGGAATGAGTGTGAATCCAAAATATCTTTGAACCAAGAAATCCAGAAGGTCAGGAAGACTCTAGAAATATATATATGCTTAGCTTTGGGACAGAATGACTTTCTAAATACTCCTTTGCGTATCTGTTTTTTTCACGGCAGGAAAGGCCACCTTGCTGCTAATCAGAAAGCTGATTTTAGCCAAAGATTCACAAGATTTGGTAGAAAGGAAGGTTTAAGTGATGGAGACCTTGAGTCTGCAGGTGAACATGTCCATGGAGGAAGAGACGATGGAGCACCCGGAGTTGAAGATGCAGAAACAGAGTACTTCGCTGGTCAAACTCTGGTCCGATTTGGAGGCAATGAAAGCTCCCTCTGGCATGGTTCCTCTCCAACAATTGAAATGCAAACCGGAAGAGGGACTGCAAGATTGCTGGGAAGCCCAGTGTCAGGAGTTCCTCAGGAGCCTGCCAGGTCCTTGCTCGGAGATGGCTCCCGCTGACGCAGTAGAGGAGCCAACGCCATGGGTCAACACGAAGGCCTTCCTAACTTCCTTTGAGCAAGTTGCATCTGCCTGCAAATGGCCCCAGGACCAATGGATGACTCTCCTTTTGCCAGGATTCAGACAAGAAGCGAAGGAGGCCTTCGACAGCCTTAGCAGCCAAGAAAGAGGAGACTATGGGAAGGTGAAGGCTGCCATCTTGCGAGGGGAGGCCCTGGCCAGGGAGAAACAGCGCCGGGATTTCCGGCAGTTTTGCTACCAGGAGGCGGAGGGGCCCAGGGGTGTTTACAGGCATCTCCAGGAACTTTGCTGGCAGTGGTTGAAGGCTGAGAGGTGCTCGAAGGAGGAGATCCTGGAGCTGCTGGTTCTGGAGCAGTTTCTGACTGTCCTGCCTCCGGGGATGCAGAGCTGGGTGAGGGCTCACGGCCCTGAGACTTGCACTGGGGCTGTGCTTTTGGCTGAGGAGTTTCTGTCGAAGCGGAGCTCCGTGAAACAGGAGGAAGAGGTGAAGTTTCTGGTGATGGTCTTCAGGTGGTTCTCCAGAAGATGGAGGAGAACGGGAATTGAATGCATTTTTCCACTCTCTGCTTTTTCAGGAATAGTGAGAATCGAGTAGAGCTTGGTTGTCTGAAGGGACCCAATAGCCAAGGCAATGTGAATAGGAATAGAATAGGATAGGATAGGATAGGATAGGATAGGATAGAATAGGATAGGATAGGATAGGATAGGATAGGATAGAATAGAATTGGAAGGGACCTTGGAGGTCTTCTAGTCCAACCCCCTGCCTAGGCAGGAAACCCTACACCACTTCATACAAATGGCTATCCAACATCTTTTTAAAAACTTGCAGTGTTGGAGCATTCATAACTTCTTGAGGAAAGTTGTTTCACTGATTAGAATAGAATAGAATTAGAATAGAATTAGAATGGAATGGAATGGAATAGAATAGAATAGAATAGAATAGAATAGAATAGAATAGAATAGAACAGAACAGAACAGAACAGAACAGAACAGAACAGAACAGAACAGGATTATTTATTGGCCAAGTGTGATTGGACACACACAAGAAATTTGTCTTGGTACAAATACTCTCATATACATAAAAGAACAGATACAACCGTCAAGAGTCAAAAATCATCAGGTTCAACACTTAATACTAGCCATAGGGTACACTAAGCAATCAAATCAATATAGATCATAAGGATACAAGTGACAAAGTTACGGTCATACAGTCACAAGTGGGAGAGGATGGGTGATAAGGAGTGATGGGAAAATTAATGGTAATAGTAGTGCAGACTTTGTAAATAGTTGAACAGTGTTGAGGGAATTATATGTTTACCAGAGTGATGGCATTTGGGGAAAAATTGTCCTTGTGTCTAGTTGTTCTAGTGTGCAGTGCTCTATAGCGTCGTTTTGAGAGTAGGAGTTGAAACAGTTTATGTCCAGGATGCGAGGGGTCTGTAAATATTTTCACAGCCCTCTTTTTGACTGGTGCAGTATACAGGTCCTCGATGGAAGGCATAATTGTTCTGTCAGGAAACAGAGGTTCTCTAATTCCATTTTTTTTACATATTAGATCAAATTAAGGAACAAAGCTTTGAAGATTCATGGTACCTTCTAAGTCTATTTCTCCACTAGTCTCTGGCTTTTTACTTCTATACAGAGTCAGTGAAGGAGAAATTGTTTTAATCTCCCCGCAGTTTTACTACCAGGAGACCGAGGAGCCCAGAGCTGTTTGCTATCCAGAGTAAGTGAGGGAGAAACTGTTTTTAATATCCCTCCACATTGAGAGAAAGATGAGAGAAGGCTGAGATGTGTAGGTTACCTATTCTCCCATCACAGCTGATGGATTTTGCTCCACTGAATAATTGTTTCGTGTCATTCCAGAGTCCGGATCTTTTGGGCATGCTACCAACTGAAGAGCCTTCCCAGGGAAGCCAATGCTTACCACTAGGTTCATGGGGATGGCAGCTGTCCAAGGAGATGAAGCTGGACATTGACGAAGAAATGAATTCATTCAGTAAGCATGGGCTGCATTTCATCAGCCGAAGGTGTTGAGCGTTTCTCCCTTGATAGCATTTAGCACTTAGACTTATATACCACTTTATAGTACTTTACTACCCTCTCTAAGCAGTTTACAGAGTCAGCATATTGCCCCCAACAATTTGGGCCCTCATTTTACCCACCTCGGAAAGATGGAAGGCTGAGTCAACCTTGAGCCCGGTGAGAGTCGATCTGCCAAATTGCAGGCACATGGCTGTCAGCAGAGGTAGCCTGCAGTACCGCACGCTAACCACTGCGCCACCGAGGATCTTTAACATCTGAACAAGAGTTGCTAATCTAGCATCGATCCTAGTGGTATAATTCTCCTTCAGTTGTGAGAGAACTGGTTGGAATCCTGCACAAGTAGGAAGATGAGTGTGCTCCATAAATAGGATAAGAGTTTGCATTTATGCCCCTTTTTTTTGACCTACAGCTTTCTGCTCATCTTAGTAGCAAATCTGAGTCAAATTATTCCATTTTGCATTCGCATTTAGATTTATATTATACTTATATAATTAGATGGACCCCTGTTCTTATCTAAAACAGTTCGTCTGGCATGTTAAAAGAGTTTGCAGCAGAAATTCAAGTCCAGAAAACACACAGATGACTGATTCAGCAGGATCATTAACTTCTTTATAAACATAACATTTCAAGTAAAGTTTACAATACCATTTGTAGATTCTTTCACTGTAACGTAAGCAAAAAAACACAAGCAGCAGCAGCTCAGAGCAGAACTCCATTTCAGCAAGCAAGCAAGTGTAGTTTCTCCTTCACTTTAGAGCTGAGCACAGAACAGAGATAAACCAGGCACAGATTCTTTCTTTAAGTTTCAACCCGCAATTCAGCTCTCATTGGCTGACCTTGATACTAAGCCCTATTCCAGTTCATGAATATACTCTGACATGGCAGTCATTAATTGTCCTCCCAAACATATTCCTTGCACCCAGAAAAATATCGTGAAATGGAGAAGCCGTTGGAAGTTTACCTTCTCCATGACTTATTAGGTCAGGAATGTGCAGATATTTTTCCCCTTTAAAAACAAGAGTGGTTGTGTCACATAAACCCCAACATGAAATTTGTTAATAGAGTAGCCCACATAGCCACAAAGTATTTGATACCTAAAAGCATATATGCCCTGCGATTAAACATTCGAAGAGGCTTATGTTTAAACAAGATTAAGAAACACTACATAAAATCCAATAGTAAAGAATCGCTACTAATACAGAGGTAAACGCAAGCGTTTGTGAACTCTGTAGAAAAATCCTGAACCCTGCTGAATTTTGACCTAGAACAGGGAGGGGGTGTCAAACTGGCGGACCACAGGCTGGATGCGTCACGCGCAGGCCACGCCCACCCCAGCTCCGTGAAGGGGGGGGAAACATTGCGATACGTCATGTTATGGCAACAGGACGCCGCGAGTTTGACACCCCTGACCTAGAACGTCACCTGACTAAAAATGTATGACCTTCTTCCTTCCCCAAGCCAACAATCACAGACAGATGAACCAAGACAACCATCTTCGTCAGAGCATTTCTGAGGCACCAGAAAATGAGACGCTAAAAAGAGACAGCATACCCTTCCAGTGTTTCAAGGAGGAAGAGAGACCTAACAACCAGGAGGCTCCAGAAACAGAATGGAATTCACCCAAAAGAAATGTGGACAAAGTTGTTTCGGTCGGTAAAAGCGATTCCGATCCAGAAGAAGCCAAGACCGGCCATAAAATCCACCAGTGCCACTGTGGCAAACGTTTCCGGTGGAGCTCCAATTTTCGGGTACATGAAAGAATTCACACCGGAGAGAAGCCATATACGTGTACGGAATGCGGCCTCCCTTTTCGCAAATCTGCCCAACTAAAGGCCCACACAGGAATTCATACCGGCGAGGTTCCCTTTCGGTGTCCCACGTGCCAGAAAACCTTTACCAGCAGCTCCAACCTCATCACCCACAAGAGGATCCATACCGGAGAGAAGCCATACCAATGCCCGTACTGCGAGAAGAGCTTCCGGCAAAAGGGGACACTCACCATCCATGAAAAAATCCACATGGACGAGAAGCCTTTCAAATGCTTGACGTGCGGGAAGACTTTCCGTCAGAAAGGAACCCTGAGTGTCCATGAAAAAATCCACTTGGGGGAGAAGCCCTACAAATGTTCCAGCTGTGGGAAGGATTTCCGCACCGCAGCCGTCCTGAGGGTTCACGAAAGGATCCACACCGGGGTGAAACCGTATCGGTGCTCAGTGTGTCTGAAGAGCTTCACCGACGGGTCAAACCTCATCACCCACGAGCGAATTCACACGGGAGTGAAACCATACCAGTGCTCACGGTGCGGGAAGACCTTTTGTCAGAAGTCTGGCCTGGTGACACACGAACGCATTCATACAGGAGGGAATCCATATCGGCGCTCAGCCGACCAGAATCATTTAGAGGAAAGATCAGATCTCGACGCCCATCAGGAAGCAAAGCTGGGAAAGAGATCATAAGACAGATGTCAACTCATAAAATATTTCTATGGTCTGTTTAGAGTTGCCAACAGAAAGGGAGGGGGGAGCAGTGGGCAGCTTGCATTCCATACATGTTTTCAAAGATAGTTTCTAGGTAACCGAAGTTTCTGCCGTGCAAAATTCTAACTGGAGAGCATGATTGATGACTCTTGGCTATGGATGTGTCCCATTGGAGAATATGAATTACGATACATCCAGGGGGTGGGGGAAAACCAGGGTCAAGGGTGACAATGAATGATTTGCCTCAGAGTCGGCTACACCCAGGCAATGCCACATTTTTTAACTCCCAATAAATCCTTTTGGAGTTTGGCTAGAGACTCATGATTTAAATGGGGTTAAGTGTCGGAATCCTGACAACAGACAGGTAGTCCTCAGTTTACAATGGTACATTTAGGGACTGTTCAAAGTTACAGCGGCACTAAAAAAAAAAGTTACTTAGGACCATTTTTCACACCATGGCGACATTCTGGTGGTCACGTGATCAAAACTTGAACTCTTTGGCAACTGCATATATTTATGACGGTTGCGGTGTCTCGTGGTTGTTTGATCCCCTTTTTTTGCGCCCGTCGGAAAGCAAAGTCAGTGGGGAAGCCAGATTCAGTTTTAACAACTGCGTTACTAATGTAACAACTGCAGTGATTCACTTCACAGTGGTGGTAGGAAAGTTTGTAAAGTGGGACAAAGCTAACCATGGTCTTGTTTATCAGCAGAAATTCTGGTCTCAGTTGTGGTTGTTAAGTCAGGAACACCTGCAAGTCAGGACAAGCCATCATTAAAGATGAGAGCAAACGTTTGGTTAGATAGAATATCTTTGCCCCTGTGACCTTTCAGAGTTGATATCAGAGGTGGAGATTCAGCAGGTTCTGACCAGTTCTGGAGAACCGGTAATGTAAATTTGGAGTAGTTTGGAGAACTGGCAAATACCACCTCTGACTGGCCCCGCCCAAATCTATTTTCTGCCTCCCGAATCCCAGCTGATGAGCTGGGTCTTCTTTGGTTGCCCTGCACAAGAGAACGGAGCTGGAAAGCAGGTTAGTGAAGTGGGGAGGGAATGGGGATTTGGCGATATCCTTCCTCTGCCACGCCCACCAAGCCACTGCACACCCACCAAGCCATACCATGGCCACCAAGCCACATCCATTTAGAACCGGTAGTAAAAAAATATTGAATCCCACCACTAGTTGATATATACGTCGGGATTGGAACTGAGGATACTTTCACCAATTGCTTATTCTCTAACTGGACCTTGCATTTCTCACATCAAATATAGATCAAATAGTTAACTTTCAATTAGAAAAATAATATAAGTAGAGATAGAGATAAAGATAGTCTATTTGATTATTAGATGGATAGCTTCTCTCATCTGGAAGAGCAATAGCAGTAGCAATAGCACTTGGACTTATATACCGCTTTTTATAGTGCTTACAGCCCTCTCTAAGTGGTTTACAGCAGTGGTCCCCAACCTTTTTTGTACCATGGCTCGGTACAAATGATCCACGGACCGGTACCGGCATCAGCAAGCACGACCAAGGCAAGGCAAGCCGAGCGACCGGCCAGCCAGCCGTCCCCTGTTTCTCCCTGCCACCTTCAACTCCTCCTTTGTACCTTCTTGCGGTCGATGGGCTTTTCGGGCTCTTTCTTAATCTCCTGAGTAATGCGAGACTCCACCGCCATCGGGACAGCTCTTCGTTCGAAGCCGCCCCCCCGACGAAACTAAGGCGTGAGGATTCCTTCAGCACCCAAACGCCGCTTTCCAAGCTCACCCAGAAGCACTTTCTCAAGTGCTGTCGAAACAAGATGGCGGTGCCCAAGTACCTGTGGCCTGGTAGAAAATGATCCATGGACCGGTATCGGTCCGGGGCCCGGTAGTTGGAAACCCCTGGTTTACAGAGTCAGCACATTGCCTCCAACAATCTGGGTCCTCATTTTACCCACTTTGGAAGGATGGAAGTCTGAGTCAACCTTGACCCTGGTGGGATTTGAACTGCCAAATGGTAGGCAGCTGGCTGCGGCAGAAGTAGCTTGCAGTACTGCACTCTAACCACTGCGCCGCAAAGGCTCCTATTAACAGGAATACCGGTTTATTTAATACAATCTTTTGGTTGAATGAAGATGGGAAAGTTCATAATTGTTTGTAGACTTGTTATGAAAGGGAAGGAGAACCTATCAGGGTTTGTTTGTTTTTTTTAATTTACAGGTAGTCCTCAACTTACAGCCACAATTGAGCTCAACATTTCTGTTGTTCAGTGAGACATTGGTTAAGTGAGTTTCGCCCCCTTTTTTTAACGACCTTTCAAACCACCGTTCTTAAGTGAATCACTATAGTTTGATAAGTTTGTATCCTGGTTCTTAAGGGAATCTGACTTCCCCATTGGCTCTGCTTGTCATAAGGCCACCAAACATGACCACGGGAACACTGCGACCATGATAAATTGGTTGCCAAGTATTTGAATGTTGATCATGTGACCATGGGGAAGCTGCAAAGGTCCTAAAGTGTGAAAAATGGTCATAAATCAGAGGTGGTATTCAGCAGGTTCTGACCAGTTCTGGAGAACCGGTAGCGGGCATTTCGAGTAGTTTGGAGATCTGGCAAATACCACCTCTGACTGGCCCCACCCCCATGTATTCTCTGACTCCCGAGTCCCAGCTGATCGGCTGGGTCTTTCTTTGTTGCCCTGCACAGGAGAACGGAGCTGGAAAGCAGGTTAGTGGGGTGGGGAGGGATTTTGCAGTAACTTTCCCCTGCCAAGCTGACCAAACCACACCCACCAAGCCAAGCCATGCCCACCAAGCAAAGCCACGCCTACCAAGCCACACCCACAGAACCGGAATTAAAAAAAACTTGAATCCCACCACTGTCATAAGTCACATTTTTTCTGTGTCATCGTAACTTTGACCCCACACTGCAGGTCTAGCACAGGGGTCCCCAAACTTGGCAACTTGTAAGACTTGTGGACTTCAACTCCCAGAATTCCTCAGCCAGCATAGCTAGAATTCTGGGAGTTGAAGTCCACAAGTCTTAAAAGTTGCCAAGTTTGGAGGCCTCCTGTCTAGGGCTACCTGTATGTATTTTTTTAACAGCCAGTCAGGATGGATTCTTTTTATGTTTTAAGATTTAGATCTATTGCACATTTGGGTTTTTTTCTCCCCTTTCTTTTGTGTACAAAGAATTTTATCTCTCCTTTTTTTTTCCATTGTTAATGTTGCATGTTTGTTTTTCTGTTTTGTATTTTACTTTTGTGGATAAATGAAAATAAATACCAAAACACCTGCACTAAAAAAAGTGATTTAAAACCAGCCTTCACACTTAAAAACTGTCAGAATCAGAATCGAGCTGGAAGGAGCCTAGAGGTCCTCTAGCCCAACCCCCTGCTCCATCAGGAGACCCTGTACCATTTCAGACAAGTGGCTGTTGTCCAGTCTCTTCTTAAAAACCTCCAGTGATGCTATTTTTTTTCTTTTTTTTTCGTGAAATACACAATAATACACTTTTTGACAGTGGCCAGATTAGCTTTTGCCCAATGTTGGAAGCCTCAGGTTCCATCAGTGGATACGATCATTCAAAAAATTTCAAGTTGTGCAGAAATGGACAAATTAACTTTGGCACTAAAAAATAAAGACACCTCAATGTTATGACTCCCCTTCGAAATTCAACAAACAAAACGGAAAGCAGTCGCTTCACAACTAAATCAAACGTGAAAAAGTCTTAATAAATAACGGCTGACAGAAACCACAGCATAAGTCTTACTCTGTCCGGCAAACCAGTCCTGGCAATAAATCCTCAACCCCAGAGCTCTTTGCTGTAACGTCCTCACTCAAATAGACATTTTGTTCCTGGCGAAAATGCACCAGCCCAGCTGTGTCCTTTTATACCTATTAAGGCAACGTGCTAATTTACTGACTTGCTCTTCTCATTTGCTCCAGCTGATTTTGCCTTTTCAACCGTCTTCTATTTTTTACATTTAACCACAAATTTTCCAAGTTCTCATCTCCACTAGAAGACTCTCTCAAAACTTCCCTGTCAGCCATTCCTGGCTGTTGATCAGATAAAGAACCAGAGGAGATCAAAGGTCCTGACAATTCTAATACATCAGGTCTGTCGTCCTTTGTCACGTCCCCCTCCTCATCCTGGTTTTCAGTCCAATCAGAAAGCCAGGCTGGTTCAAATTGTTCTGACATAACCTCTTTACTTGAACTCATATCAATCACAGGAGCTGAATCCAAGCCCGGAGCCACAACACCAGAATATACTACAATAGCTGAAACTGCTGGTACAAATGGATAGACCAAAGATAGATTTTACATTATAAGGCAAAAGAGGATAGGATAAACCCATAGTAGTGATATACAGATATATACAAGAATTAGGTGTGTGTATATGGCATAAATTAAGGGTTTAAAAAAAAGAGATCTTACAAACTGTTGAAGATGAGAATGTTTTTAATTGCTTTCTATTTTTTCTTTCCATTTTCTTCTTCTTTCATTTGTGTATGTGTTGTTGGTTTGTTTTAATTGTAAAATTAATAATATTTATTTATTAAAAAAAAAAAACCTCCAGTGATGAAGCACCCACAACCTGTGAAAGTTCCCCTGGTTAATTGTCACCACAGTTCGGACGTTTCTCCTTGATTCTAGGTTGCTTCTCTCCTTGATTAGTTTCCACCCATTGTTTCTTGTCCTGTTTTCTGGTGCTTTGGAAAATAAATGGATCCCCTCTTCTTTGTGGCAGGAGGTCAATTTATTTTCACAGACTCCTGGGAGGGGCTGGGTGGGTGGGGGGCAACCAGGAGTGAGATTTGGGGGTTCTCTGAACCGCACAGAATCCTAGTTAGGGGATCTCCTGAACCCCCAGGGCGCCCACCCCTGCTTCCGATCGTTGCATCATCCGCATGGGCACATGACCAGAATTAAGACGCTTGGCAACTGGCTCATATGCATGACATTTGTAGTGTCCTGGGGTAATGTGACCACCTTTTGCGACCTTCTGACAAACAAATAGGGAGGCCAGAGTCGATT